GTAGTCGCAGTAGTAGTCGTAGTCGTAGTCGTCGCAGTCGTAGTCGTCGTCGTCGTGGTGGCGGCAATGCCAGCCCCGCCAGCAACAGCAACGTCAGCGCCAGCATCGTGGGAGCTCGCAGTGATACCATTCATTGCAGAACAGACACCGAGCGGCTTGCAGCTAGAATTATCAGCCTTATCCAGGTTTAAACCCCTCAGCCCTGAGTGTACTCTGAGATATAGCCCACTTCACCTCCAGCGTGAAGGCGTTGCACCTGGTCTGCGAGCTGGTCAACCGGGAGAACTTCAGCAACTCCTGGCGCATCGTGGTGCCCTTCCCCTTTCATGACCTCATGTCCACATCATTTGGTTGCAGGAGGGTTTTCTGAATGAGGGCCCGGGAAGTGTTTTCTCTGTTCTGGTTCCTGACAGACATGTGAACTGTGCTGCTCCCTGTGGGGCCTGCCGCCATTGATGCAGAAAGCCCTCACGGACGGCAACACGGAGGGTGGCTTGGACATCAATGCCCCGCGGCAGTCTGACGGGGTGCGCCGAGCTTGGATTGATTCTCCAAAAGCACAGAGAGATCGCAGGGTAAGTAACTTCCGCATGATCACGTCTTGAAACGTGGAGCTATAAACCCGAAACCCCTGCAAAGCTTGAAACGGTTGTAAGAAAACGCAGCCCTCACAAAAACCGAGTTGAACAGCTTTGAAAAAAACCTACACAAACTAGCAACCCTTGTGAAACCCCAAAAACCTTTTAGAAATCTTGTATTTCCCTATAGAAGCCTGTAATGACCCCAAGAGACGCCTATATCAACCATTCTACAAGCCCCCTTGTCCATCCTAAACCGTCAACCCTGAACCCGAAAACCTAAAACCCTAAGCCCTAAACCCTAAACCCGCTCGGCCAGTGGACACCTCTTTGCATCGCCTCCGCGGACGCGTGCCTGCCCATGGCCTTCAAGCTCCTCGAGCCGAGCCTGCCGGTTTCATACCCGGGCCTTACCTTAGCCTACCAGAACCTACTTTTTTGATCTTTTTTAAGGGTCCCTATATTAGGGGTTTATAAGAAGAACCGACAAAAAGTGGGCTATTGGCAGGTTAAGGTAACAATTAGAAGGGGTTTCTTTAAACTGTTCTTTCAGGGCTGTAGGGTTTACGTAGGGTTTGGAAGTTATACCTAGAACCGGGCTTCGGGGTGTGTAGTTATAGCATAGCTATAATCATTAAGGCGCCCAAAGATTAACATTGACACTCATTGAGCTTCTATGTCAGGTTGCAGAGGTTCGGATTCTAATTCTTAAGGCCCTACATTCATCAACTGAAGCCCCACTATACCCCTCAACGTCCTTCGGCCGAAAACTTCCTAAAGCCTCCTGCATGAGGCTGAGTTGAGAAATGGTCACGGCGAAGGCTTTCCAGCCTACCCCACACTTCCGAGACAATGTCGGAACGAACTCTCCGTTTCCACATGGGTAGTTCTCTAAATCAGGGTCCTTTTTTGGGTCCCAGATATAGTACGGCACCCTTATAAAAAGGACCCGAAAAGGGACCCAAATTTAGAGAACTACCCACATGACAGCTTAAAACAATAATTACGTCGTCATAGCTCTACCGCACAACCTTCTCCTGGCTGTGAGAAACTGATACGTCTTTGTCTCCCTGTATCGCCAGTATATTACGCAATTATAGTAGAGTGTGCACCAAAACCCCGGTCTAACGCTGAAGGCAAATACACTACGCCTCCAGAGCAACCCATCTAAAAACCCAAGGATAAAGCCCCCCTTTTTGTTCCTAGTTACCTGTACAGTAGCCTTACTATGCCGGCCCCTACATTACTGTAGGGGTCTAAATAATTACCAATACTATTTTTGGGGCTCCTTATTTTAATTACAGTATATATACCCCAAAATCCTATTCTCATTATTAAGGCCCCTAAACCCTAAACCCTTATGGTAGCCCTTATAGATCCCTTTAAGGAACCCAAACCCTAAACCCTAAACCCTAGGCGCTCTTAAGCAGCGTGGTCCGCCTCAACGCATGGCAGGTTAAAAGCCGACCCGAACGTGATCACCAGGGCCAATGAGACGCCACTGCAGGGAGCTGAGTTGTTCAGGGTGTAGGGTTTAGGGTTTAGGGTTTAGGGTTCGGCGGTTCAGAGTTTAGGGTGATGTGGGGTCTAGTTCTTCAGGGTTTCGGGGCTTTTGTGGCTCTGGGTTTAGGAATAGCTTTGTCTGGCGAGGGGGAGGGGCAGATGCTACCAGGGCCCTGGCAAAGCGAAGCCGCGATGACGACAGTGACGAGCAGAAGGAGGCATCGGAGTTTCAGGTCTAACCCAAACTATTATTCTACTGTTATTATTTGTTGATTATTGTTGTTCATATCATCATTAATATTATTATTGCTGTTGCTATCATTATTACTATTATTATTATTGTTATTATGGTTGTTATGATTCTGACTGTTATTACCATTATTTTTGTTATTTTTTTTTATCACTATTGCTGTTAGTATGTTTTATTGCGAACGTTGTGATTACATTTACATTTACTACCCTCGGTACTGAGAGCGGCGAAGGCGCGTGGCATCATCTCCAACATGCTACGATCATACGGTGGGCAGGCGGCGGTGGGGTGCTTCCGAGAAGATTTTGCGAGGTTTGTTGCTACCGGAGATGTACAAAGACTCTCATACTGCTACCGGCGAGGACACCTGCAAAGACGCCTTGAGGATGCTGAGAAAGACAAGCCAGCCTGCGGTATCCAAGGAGAGCCAGGCGCGGAGGGTCCACCAGACTTGTTTGGGCGAGAACTTACTTGGAGGTTCATGGGTAGTTACAAGTGGAGTTATAAGTAGGGTAACTATAAGTATAACAGTATAACCCACATTAGAGAACTTATAACCCTACTTATAACCACCCATGAACCTCCAAGTACTCGTATCGAGGATGCATATCCTGAAGTAGGATTTTGCCGCAGAGCAGCTTCAAGTCGATTGTACCTGTCGCTTGCTTCTGTTCCTGGTAGGCACTGAAAGAGGAAGTGGTCACTGCCAGGGGCCTACTGTCAGGGCTGTCCGAATCGAGTCGCCCTTCATGCTCTGTTCGTCTCTGTTGCCAGGAGTCGCGCGCACTTTCGTTTGGAACCGAATCAATTCACGTCGAACGACCGGACAGAGAAACCAGTGACCTCATGCTTTGGAAGATGGCCCAAGCATGAGAATGTGTGTCGTGATCTGCTGAGTCAATCCCAGGTGCCTACCACTACCTCGACTTCGCAGCTCTGCTTGATCGAGCACTTAGGGCTTCATGGGTGGGCTGATGGCCTCCAGCAACCGGACTTGTAGCGGTTTGCTCAAGCATAGGCCTCTTCAAGTTTGTGTTCAGGGCTTAGGTTTTTGTGGGCCCCGTCGCCCCACGAAAAAGCCAAGCACAGCTGAGCAACCCTGCACGCCACATGCCGGCAAGCCTGACCGACGAAGGTTCTCCGAACCCGAATTCCCTCCCCCGTGATTTGGGGTTTCGGAGACTTGAAGAACTTGTTTGGGATTAGGGCCCCTCACCGAGAAAGTGGATATACTAACCCTGTACTATTATGCAGGGGCACGAAATGCACAGAGCTCCTGAATCCCTGACTTCCAGTTTGGTGAGGCACACGAGATATCGAGGGTGAGGAGCTGTGAGGGAGCCATGTCGGAAATCCTTGGAAGTGAAGACAGCCTGAAGAGCTGGACACTTCTGATGGAGGGCCTGCGATGGCGGGGCCTGCATTGGCACTTGAAGAGACATATAGTGCTCGCAGGATTTGAAATTGTGAACGTTAGGCAAAGGAAGAGCCTGGGGCAGAATGGCCACATGGTCTGGTAGATACATGCAGACACACTTAAAGCCGCGTCCGACAGGTTTCACCAATGTGTGTAGAATTCAACCGGGCGTGTGGCTTCTCGAACTTGACAATGGCCTTGCTCTGCTCGCCGAGCTCGTGAAGAGCTACCCATGCATCCCTGGATCAGGCCACAGGGTACAGATCTCGCCCGTTGGCTCAGCCAGGTCTCAAAGCTACTCTGACGGACCCAACACATGGATACATAGCATCGACTTAGTACCTCTCTGAGCGACTGAAAGTCTTCAACTCCAAGGCAGAAGAGCAAGCTAGCCGCAGCTGTCAGCACTGACTTCAAGATCAGCCGACATGATGTGCGACCAGACATAGCTGAGCAAAGAAAGCGACGTCAGTTTTTCACCTGAGATTTGCCTGCACTTCACCATGGCTGGCCAAGCCGACAAGAAGCAGGTGCTGCGCAGCTGTACCTCTCTGTAGTTGCAGACACCAGCATGTGTTGCTATAGATACTCAACTGTGCTTAAGTGATATTCATATGCGCGCATAATCCAGTCGAGCAGCCTGTAACATGTTTTCGGGGTATACTCGTGAGAATATACGGCCACGGCAGAATCCGGCTGACAAACCCACATGGGACTTTCCAAAAATAGGGGGTACCTTATTTTGGGGTCCTTATAATAAGGATCCTATTATTTAGGGTACTATATTAAGGTCCCCTATTTTCGGAAACCCCCACATTGGTTTCTACGAGGCCAAAAAGGCGGAGTCCTCCACTCAGCGGGAGCCCCAGATGCAGGAACCATCCGACAGGGCAACTTGGTTTGGGGTTTAAGGTTTAGGGTTTAGGGTTTTAGGGTTTAGGGTTTAGGGTTTAGGGTTGAAGGTACACGAGCACGAACAAATGTGCTTTCCGACCACCGGAAGTTACCACGTCAGGTACTACCTGTATGCCATCATTGCGGTGAATGCTTTGTATTTTCTCGGCCGTGTGGTGATGTTCTGGTCTTCGATGGGCAAGTGGAATCTGCCTCTCGGCAATTTGGTTAGGTACAACAGCACAGTAGGATCTTGCTAAGATCACGCAAAGTACAAGACAGAGCTGCCGGCGCAAGCATCCGTGTTTCGACGGAACCCTAAACCCGGCGTAGACCCTAAAACCCTAGACTCTAAGTCCAGACCCCACGTAACCCCTAACCCCCTGAAAACCCTTCAAACCGTGTGCCCCATCTCAGGTGCGGCATGCTGCTTTTCACTGGAGTGTCCTACTTCACGCACGGGAACTCAGAAGTCGGAGATTGGCAGACTCATGTGTTGGGTTTCCTGGGGGCCCTTGTTTAGGTTCTCGTATGTTATTTTTCTTTCGCCAGAGTATTTTGTCAAGGTCATGCTTTACACTGAAGACTGAAAGGGCCATGGCAAGGTTCATGTCCTCCGTTTCTAGTGTTTCCCTTCACTGCTGTGGACCCTCGCGAGAGCTTCACGGGAGTTGAGGCTTCGTGGGTTTGACGATGCTGAAGTAGCAAGGTTCGGCGCCATCAAGAGCTCCCTGGAAATCGGAGCAAACTATGAGATGTACTTGGACTGGCACGGCATGTTCGCTCATGGTCGTCCCTAAATTCTATCCATGCCCTAGACCGCCAGCCCTGTTTGGCAGAAGATCCTTTGTTCTTTCTGGCAGGACCTCTTCCTTGTCAACTTGGCCACGCAAGCCTTGGTGTCTTGGAGCAGAACTACAGCTTAGACTCTAAGCTGGTCGGCAGATCACCGAATCAATGAGCTGGGAGGTAACCTTGAGCGACTACGGCTGGCTGCTGTATCTCGCAGTCGGGAACCAAGTTTCTTGCTTCACGCGGTGCGGGGCGTTAAATTAAGCACTGCTACCACTCCTGAGGCTGCCAATTACACTTGTAGTATGCCGCATCTCAAAACCCTAGTCTAAGTATTGAGGCCCCTAGTATATGACCCAGAACCTTGTAGTATAGTCTGTAAAGTATGTGTATACATATATATATATATATGTTACATATAGAGATATATACACATATCTAGATATAGCCTTATATAGCTCTTGTAGTATGTAGCCTTGAATGATAGGGTATAGCCCTTGTAGATGTAGCCCTGAATCATAGTATATAGCCCTTGTAGGATATATACCCCTTTGACGGCCGTTGACAGCAGGTTCCTGGCTATGCTGGCTGGAAGGTTGTGAAGCTTGTCATGGACTATGCTGGAGCCTTGGGGGGCGTGGTATTGTAGGAGAATCGATGTCGGGTGGGTTCCCTAAGATCGAAGCCCCTAACCCCTGCACCCAAAACCCTAAACCTTAAAGCCAGGTCGTGTCCACTCTGCCTTCCAGAATCCAGGTGTTGAAGAAGGGGCCCCTTCCACCTTCCTCCTCTAAGCAGAGAGAGTGAGGGAGGAGGGCCCCGACCTGCCAAGGTCTTCACTCCCACTGAATCAGAGATGGCAGAGAACGACCCAGAGGCCGGTTCTGTTGGGAATTTAGGGTCAAGGTTTTTCAGTTCAGCCTTGCAATGTCCTTCCGCGAAGTACAAGAAGCGGATGGAGAAGAAGGAGAAGAAAGCGGAACGTCAAAAGTTCAAGGTCCACCACTCGGGCTTCCTGGGATTGTATAGGTCGAAGACCACCCATTTTGAGATTTCGTGAACGGACCAAGGTTGTCAAGCACTGATGCGCGGCCTGGCCCAAACGTTGGCTGCTGCAGCTGCATGCACTCGTCTGAGGCGAACGTCGTCTTTCTTCATGGAAAAAGGCAGACCCGCAGATTAGATAGATGCTCAAATCAATTTGCTAAAGAAACTCCAGAAAGCCAGCAGCTCGCATGCTTCCGCATCATGAACTTCCCCGGAGCTTTATCCGGCATTTGCTTTTCAGCCTCTGGCTCAAGAGGGCCTGTTGGGTCGTGAGACAAAAGCCGTTCATCGACCCGAAAGATCTCAGGCCACAGGCGCGGCAGAATGAAAGGTGTCGGTTGGGGTGTCCGGCTTTCGGGCTCCTATGGACGGGCCGATCTTAAAGGCACGCTGTTTGGGAACAAAAAGCATGTCGCGATTTTAGGGCATCCATGCATTTCCCAAGGCTGCCGGAGTTAAAGAAAGGTGCCTGAACAGCCTGTGTTGACCCACCGCCAGAACCACAGTCCAACTCTGCTTTCACCGGCCGGAAGCAAACCCTGAACCCCAAGACCGTTTATTTTAAAGCCCACATCTGTAATTCCGTATAATTTTAAACGCTTCGCGTCGTCCGCCGCAAACAAAGAGGGGCAACGAACTGCTGGTGCCAAGAAGGCGCCGTTGGCGGAGCCGTGGGGGGGGGGGGGGCGGGCCGGGGGCCGGGCAGGCCAGGGCGGGGGGGGGGGGGGANNGGGGGGGGGGGGGGGGGGGGTAAACCTGCTTTACCCAAGAAGACGGAGGTGCAGGATCTCGTTGATGTTTCTTGCATGTGGCGGGTCAAAATCCCGATGATCGGTTTGTTGTGTAGGATTGCGGGGCTTTACAGGCCTATGCGCACTTTATCATACGTTTAGGGACTGGTGGGGTAGGGTAAGGGGTTTGCTGCGTGTCGGTTGTTGTAAGGTAACCTAAAGTCCTGAAGCTCTGGATTCGTGTTTCAGGTGCAGGAGCTTCGGGGAAGGACACGATGTGGACCAAGATGTCAGCACAGTCGATGTTCAGTTTCACTTGGGGGGCACTTTCCTGAACCCTAAACCCTCCGGTGAAGGCCGTGAAGGCCCCTTTTATTCCCTAAGGCCAAAGCTCTAAACCCCTAGGCCCGAAACCCTAGACCCTAAACCCTAAACCCTAAACCCTAGACCCTAAACCCTAAACCCTAAACACCAAACGAGACCTTTGTTGGGCCCCAAGCCTGGACCAGTAAAACAAGGCCCAAAGCCCTGAAGCCTTGAGGATCCTGAAGGACGCAAGGCCCGTCAACCGAGCCTCATGAAAACGAAAAAGGGTTTAGGGTTCAGGGCGTAGGGGCTTAGGGTTTATGGTTCAGGGTTTAGGGTTTAGGGCTTCGGGTTTACTTAAAGGATCATGGGACTTAGTAAGTAGGTTATAACTAGGGTAACTATACCTTTATAACCTTACTTACTAAGTCCCATGATCCTCCAAGTAGGGTTCAGGTTTCCATGTTTAGGGCCACTCCGCTGCAGGGCGCTGAGCTGCCTCTGAGCTTCGTCCTTGGGAGCCCCAAAAGTGCGCCCGATGAGGAAAGGGTTTAGGGCTTTGGGTTGAGGGTTTAGGGGTTAGGGGTTAGGGATGAGGGTTTAGGGTTTAGGGTCTAGGCGAGGGCTCTAGCCTCTGGAGTTCCTTTGCTGTATGGGGCCTTAGTACTTAGAATAGGGTTTTGGGGTACTATCATACTGTAATTATAATAAGGAGCCCCCAAAAACCTATTCTAATTATTATGGCCCCTATATATATTACTTGCTCCTGTCCGTGGGCTTTTGGGTGTTGTGTTTTGGGCTTGTGGGGTTTCGTGTTGTCGGGCTTAAGGAGCCCATGGAAGAAAAGCAGAGTGGTGCCCTGCAAAAGGTACAATTCGATGAAGCTGCTATCCCTCATCATCTACAGGTGGCAGGAGGCCTCCGAAGCCAAATCCAGACAAAGAGAGAGGTTTATGGGAGTTTCAGACAATTAGGGTACCTTATTTTGCGGGTTCTTATAATAAGGATCCTACCATTTAGGGTACTATATTAGGGTCCCCTCTTTTGGGAAACCCCTTTATACATTTCTGCGACTGCAGCATGCTTGATGCCCACCCTCACAGACCCCGCCATCTTCCTCTTCGCAGATTACCATTGGCTGCGGAAGCTACGGCCCTGAGGCCATGAACCCAAAAACCATCGAAAACCTAGCCGCGGAGGACAACAGTCTTGAGCTGGTGACCTGCGAAGAACTGTCGCGGCCCCGTGCGCTCGGATCTAGGTGGATGGAAAGCAGAGAGAGAGAGGGAGCTAAGCGATACCGTCTATCTGTTTATAAGTTATGAATAAATGGTTGGCAGGAGAGAGCCATGCAGGGTTTCGCACCTAGTTATTCGAGATGCTGAGGACCTCGTTCAGCTTTTTCCATCGAGGGCCTCTTCGTGAACACATCAAGCCGAGAGCTCGGCGCTCTTCGTTGTTGAGCATTATCTTGGCAGTGCGGTATTGTGGCTTTCGGACGAAAGCCCAACGCCGGCGAGTTGAAGCACCGTCGCTGGCAGGTTGACATGATGCAGAGCAAAGTGGAAGTGGCTAAGACTCGCTACAATGTTCTCATATGGGAGTTTCCGAAAACAAGGGGTGCCTTGTTTTGGGGCCCTTATGATAAGGATCCTACTATTTAGGGCACTATACTAGGGTCCCCTATTTTCGGAAAGCCCCATACGACCATCCTTGGAGACCAGCCAGGGAAACCTAAACCCTAAACCCTAAACCCTAAACCCTAAACCAGTTCCAGAACACTGCACGAGCTCTGCCCGAGGTTTCATAGCCGCCTGATTGCCTCCCGCACGCCTCCAGGAGCTGAGGGGTGAAGCTACGGTAGAGCCTGAGGCTCCTAAGGCTTATGGGTTTAGGGTTTAGGGCTTAGGGTTTAGGGCTTAGGATTTAGGGTTTAGGGTTACGGTGCGGAAGTGTCAGGCAGAAAGTTATCTTGCGGCCTATTGGTGCAGTTTACCATGTGCTGCATTTGCCAATCGGAGGACAGCGACAAAGCATTGACTTTGACCAGAACCTGGGCAAGTGCTACTCCTGGTCCCACCCAGAGGCCAGCAGACCTCAGTGGCACAGCTCGGAGCAGATTCTCTCCCTGCTTGTCGACTCTCTCTCTCTCTCTCTTCTCGCTCTCTGTCTCCATGTAGCTCGTATGCAAGTTTGTGCAAGCAGATTATGATCAGATTATGTATACAATAGACATGATGAGAAGGCGGATTGCGGTGCGTTCAAGACCAGAAAGCGGCTAATGCGATGCGTGAACAGGCCAATGGTCCAACCCTGACGGCCACGGTGCTCGTAGACGGCTCCGGGCTCGTTTGCCAGAGGGGATCCCTTGAAGAAGCCCCTTAAAGGAGCTGGAAGGAGCCCTGGAGGAGCTCTTAGGAAGGAGCTCTTGGGAAGCTGCAGCCGCTGTTAGGGCTTAGGGTTTAAGGTTCAGGGTTTGGGGTTTAGGGTTCAGGGTTTGAGGTTTGGGGTTCAGGGTTTAGGGTTCAGGGTTTGGGGTTTAGGGTTTGGGGTTTACGGCTTAGGGTTTAGGCGGCCCCAGATGTCCTAGCGGGCAGCACGGTAGTCCTGCACGGAAGCATCGGCTTCGAGTACTTGGCCACTGAGGTGAGTATCCCATGCGGGTCGCCTTCGCTCTTGCAGCCGAGGCCTTTTTGCAACAGCGCCTTTTCGGTGGGAGAAGCAAATGTTGTACAACGTATTTCGGTTCTTTGGATCATGATAAGGATCATACCTATTTTACTACCACTATTGCAAACACTACAAACATGACTGTTGCTATTAGTAGTTGGTACTGATAGTAGCAGGAGAGTAGATTGGAGGATGGGGGACTGGATTTATGGCATGCTCTTGCAGATCCGTCTCTGGCTCAAAACAAAGATGTCAAGACGAGAGATCTATGCACCCCGTGAATGTCCAAGTAGTGATGGGCTGACAGTGGCAAGCCTCAGCAACAGTGAACAGTTTGTTGGTTATGATAAACATAGGTTGTTATACCCCGATACCTTAGTGTCATTATCAAGGGCATCCTTAGGTATGAGATCGCCATCGTGGCCATTTGAACTTGTCGAGGCTATCCGCATCCTCCGGGAGACAGTCCCGAAGGATACTGTGGAGGTGATCGTGGGTTCAGAGTTGTAGGTTTAGGGTGCTGCGCTCATGCCATTATAGCTTCTGTCAGATGCCCCTTGTCTTGGCGCTTGTCAATGAAGCCTTGCCTCGACAAATGGAACAGAATAGGCCTCGTTCAAAGAGAGTACTCGTTTGGCATGTCGGCATGTGTGGTCTTTACGCACATGAGCAAGCTACCGCCTGAAATCTGCAAGGCAGCTAAAGCCGACATGGCCATCAACTCTCCTGAGATCCAGGCATTGAAGTTAAGGGTTAGAGTCAGGGTTCAGGGGTTTTGGGCCGGTTTTGGGTTTTTTCTCCCTTGCTTTGGTCGCTGTTTCCTGAGCATCGAAGTGTGCCCGTACGGTCTTGCCTTCAGCATGGAGCTTTCCAGAGGCCCTTTTTGCGAAATTCCAAAACCCAGCGGAGGTCGGGACCTTGGCTTCTGCGGTGCAAAGCGAGTTGTCCCTCATAACACAGGGGTCGAGAAAAAAGCTAGTAGTAGCAACTCCTTGTTTTCCTTATATAGCTGCCATCCAATATAAGATGATACGGCCTACCTATGGTCTCCACTGTAGTTCCTTTTTGGGGATGCCTTATAAAATCCGCAATAGACAATTGGTTAAACCAAGAAAGGAACTACAATGGAGACTACAGGACCCTAAATCCTAAACCCTACCCTAAACCCTAAACCCTAAACCCTAAACCCTAAACCCTAAATTCCAATTGTTGAGACACCTGCTTTAACTCCTCCAGACCTTCAGAGGCAGAGGCGCCATGCTTTCGAGCCTGAACCGCAGCGTTTAAGCTTCAATCTAGGGGGGGCCTAAATTTAGGGTTTAGGGTTTAGGGTTTAGGGTAATTACCGGCACTATTTTTGAGGGTTCCTGATTATAGTTATAGTATAATACACCCCAAAAGCCTATTCTAATTATTAAGGCCGCTGCATTCTGTTACTCCGAGAGCCCCGACGCTAGACCTCGAAACTAATCCCCCAAGGCGCAAGACCCTGCAAACCTTTTACACCCCAAAGGCCGACTCCCTCTGCAAGCGTTGTAAAGCCCTTGCAGAGCCTTGTAGAACTCTATACGTCCGTAAAGAACACTAGAACATCTTCTTAGAGAGCCCTATAGAGCCTTATGGAGCCTTCAACATCTAATGGAACCTGGTTTAGGGTTTAGGGTAACCCTAATCCGGAGCCCACCAAAGAGACAAATGCTTAGGCCGACAAGCTCACGAAGATCGAGAAGGACTTGGAGGAGGTCAGGTTTAGGGCTTAGGGTTTTGGGTTCTGAGGTTTAAAGTCTTGGGGATTTAAGGTTTAGGGTTTAAGGTTTTTGGCGTACCCAACTCTGGCACAAGGGAATGCGAGTTTAGGGGTTGTAGCCTTTAATCCTGAGCATTGATGGTACTGTATATAATGTTTCGATAATAGGCGTTTAGAGTTTCGGTGATTTTAGTTAGTGTTTTTTTTGTTTTTTTTTGGGGGGTGCTTTGACGAATTTGGAGGGGTTCTTAGAAGTGGGTTCTACAGGTGTTTACAAGAGTTGGTATCGAGCTTCCCTGCAGGCTATGATAAGGGGGGAGTATATTCAGTATCCATTTATTTTGGTGATACCTTTGGGTCCTGACATATGTTTTTTGTTGGACCAGGTATTCTAAGAACTGCAATCGCACTGAAGATGGTCCTTGTAGCAGTAGCGGTGCGGAATGGGATCCTCGGTGTCAAAGTATAATCATTAACCAGTGAGCTGCCATGATCGAGTATGACCACCTGGAGTCGCAGCACCGTCTTCAAGAAACGATGGGAATGAGAATCTGAGAATCCGGGCACGTTACAGCTTGCATAGAGGTCGGAGTAGTTAACTGCCAATAGTATCTCCCTTTATCCCTCACGACCACCCTTTTATTAATCATGTACCCCAAAGCCCAGTCTAGTTATATTAAACCCCCTATGTTTAATGCCTGGAGTTCTCCCGGAAACCACGACGGAACTGGGCCCATCTGCGCATCTGCATTTTGTCCGCAGTCCTCACAGAACTCTCAAACCTGATCTAGGCATCGGACTGCACCCTGTCACTACACAGCTGCGGATCCCAATCCTTGGTCCGGATGTTGTGTAGGCATGACATCATGTTTTGCAAGATCGGTCACGTACATTCTCAGTGCATAGCCAGAGCTGAATGGATAAGACCTCGCCACTGCCGATCGTCGCGCTCTGTGCCGGGGCATCTATCGGAATCTGGCTCTGGTGGCGGAAGCAAAAGGCTGCATCTTCCACAGACATCCCTGTGGCAGAGGGTGGCCTGCCTCTTCTGGGCCATGCGTTGCAGTACCAGGAGGATCCGACGGCCTGCATTCGGAGACAGGAGCTGCTTGTGGGAAAGGTTTTCTCTTTGAACTTGGCTGGCCGTCGCATGGTTGTGATCGGATCCGACTCTGAAGCCATGAAGCAGGTGACCATGCAACCCCCTACGGTCCTCTCAGCGCAGAGAGCTGTTGCAGAGATTGGCTTCGAGTACCTCCTCGGTTCGACAAACGTCTACAAGGGGACCACTTTTCATAAACGGGTTCTCAAAGAGGAGATTGCACCCAAAGCCAAGCTGGAGGCCATGTTGCCCACCCTTTTCCAAGCTTTATCTGCTGGCCTGGATGAAGAGTCTCGCCTCATGAGAGCTACATCGGAGGCTTTTCTCTCGCATCCCGACGCCTTTGTCTTGGTTCGCAGATGCATTCTACGTGCCTCTTTAGATGTGCTGGTCTCCCCGGACCTGCTTCGGAGGGATCCTTCTCTTCTGACTGCGCTCATGAGCTTTCAAGATCGTGTGGAAGACGCCACGGCAAAGTCAGCCGTCCTTCCTCGCTTTCTCTCCCTTCCACTCTGCTTGTGGCCCATGGCCCTCTCAAGGAAGCGCTTGTCCCGGCGCCTTCGGCGCTTAATGGAGGGCAGCACAGAGGGCACGGAGAGAGGGCCTTGGCTTCGAGCCTTCCACTCCGAGCAGACCTCCCCCGAGGACGCCGCCGACTTTGTCATCGGTCTCGTTTTCGCAGCTCACAAAAACCCGGCCATTGGCGCTGCGCAGTCGCTCTGTTTCCTTCGGTCTCTGGACGAGGCCACACAGAGAACTGCCTTGGCAGAGGCCAAGAAGCTGAAAGCTGCCATGACACCCGGCAGGGAGCCCTCAAAGGGAGCTGAGGAGGAGCTGCTTTCGGCGACAACTCTCCGCAGGTGTGTGCTCGAAACCATGCGGCTTACTGCGCACACCCTGGGAGCCCTGCGCTATGCCAGGGAATCCATAGAAATTCAGACGAAGTCTTCTCGCTTGACGATTCCTCAAGGAGCGACGATTGCTATTGCCCACAACTCCACTCACACTGATACATCTGTCTGGGGCGCAGACGCCTCCGAATTTCGACTGGAGCGGCCCGAGTGGGTGCGGAATGGAGACCTTGCTTCTCCTGTAGATGCCTACAAGCTTACAACCTTCTCACAGGGTGTCCACAAGTGCCCTGGTGAGAAGTTCTCTTTGGCGGTCATGGAGATGATGCTCTGCATTCTGCTTGTTCGAGATAGCCAGCTTCTACAAGTACCGAAGCTCTCCTTCGAGCGTGCTACGCTGGCCCAGCGCCAGGGTCGAGTGCCTGTCACCCTTCGCAGCGAAGTGAAGACCTGAGTTCTTGAGCCCAGGGGAGCCGCCCCGCGCATCGTTTCGAAAAAGCTGCCCTGCATAATCCTTGTCTCAACTGAATACTTGTGGTGTGCTGGTTTTTTCCGATTCGATCATTCGGGAGTATCATGCACTCGTCATGTCCTCGTTACTATTTGCAGCTGAACTTTAGCTATGCCGCTTTGTGCCTCGATATGTGCTATTGCACTCAATGTCTGCGCCGAGAGCGCAGGTCATGTCATACCCTCCGCCCAAGCAGGTGAAAGGAGTTGTCATGCAGTCGATGGACGACTTGCTCAAGCGCGGCACTTGCCTCGGCAGGATTTGTGATAACGGATCAGTTCGTCCAACAATAAGTTAGATACCGGGAATTTCAGAGAATCGACATAGAACCGGACGACTGCAGAGGACAGAAAGCCGTGGGTCTCCCTACAGTACTCTTTGACAGCACCGATGCTTTTCCTACAGCCTTGTTCCCCTAAAGCGAAACCATCAGACGGCTTAGCCCTGCAACACTAAACGCCCCGGTAACCCTATCACCCGTAAAGGAGACCTGAAAGGTACCCTCAAAGGAGCTTATCTGGGCCAGTTTTCTGCGAGGAATGTAGGCAAAGACAACCCCAAGGCGAGTCATTGGACCAGCTGATGCAGAAAAGCAAGGCCCGGGTGAATGCTGCATTTTTTGGGGTTTGTCGAGGTACAACTAGTAAGAACTTGCTACATGCGGCTGGCAGGACCTCTCCAGTACCTCGGTGCAGCGGCCCGGCTAGCAAGAAAAGATAGCCGACCAATTTGAGATATTCCGAAAATTAGGGTACCTTATCTTGGGGTCCTTATAATAAGGATCCTATTAATTAGAGTACTATCTTAGGGTCCCCTGATGTCGGAAACCCCCATTTCAATAGGTTCCAGGCCGCTGTCCGGAGCTGCCTCCACCAACAGAGCCTTTGCACGCTGGAACACGTAATATAGGGGCCTTCATCATTAGAATAGGGTTTTGAGGACTATTATACTAAAAGTATAATAAGAAACCCCCAAAACCCTATTCTACTTATTTTGGCCCAAATATTAAAGATCGACATGGAGGGCAGCTCTTGAGCAAGCCCTGTCAGACTCAGTCAGCCAAGGTTTTACCGAACCGCCAAGAAGAACAACCAGTGCTGCAAAATGTACTGATGGTGTGGAGGGCATTCCCGAATGGGTAGTGTGCCGCAAGCATGTTTGTCCCCGCCATCCACGCTGCACCTTCGCTTACCACATCTGTAGACGAATTTCTCCATCACTTTCGCTACCGCGCTCTCCATCCCAGCCTGCCAGGTCCACTGACGCCTTCTACTTTGTCGGCCCTGGCCCAAGCATGCTTCGGTCTTCTCGCCTTGCCGGCAGCTTGAACTGAAGGCCTCCTGATCTGAGAGAAGGAAGTGGCCCACGTCCGACCATGCACATGTAGTATGACGCAGACATACAGGCACATACAAAATTACCTTCGATCAGGCACATGCGCATGGATGCATGTACGCAAGCACATATACATCACGTATGTGTATATACCGATATAAGCGCGTATGTGTGCATATACAGATATACTACATATCATGTCAGACTATGGGAGTCTAGACACACATCTACCGGACCAGCGGAGGTAGAGTGAGGTAGAGATGCTGAGATGCTGGCACCGCAAGCATCTGTACAGGAGTGCATACGTGTGCCCTTTGGAGCATCCCTGAGCAGAAGATGCGCTCGAGATAAAAAAGTGAATAAGTTTCAGGGTTTCGGTGTTCTGGGTTCCAGGAGACCAGACGAAGGGCCTGCAAACGGAAGTTGAAGGGCTCCTTTTCTTCGACAGCTTTGCGCAGGAAAGTGTAACTCGCGAATGCAGAACTCCCGCACTTGTGGCCAATTCTCGAAGTGAAGCCGGGTAGACATGGAGAATGTGCCGATATCTCTTTGCAGCTGACATGTTGCCTGCCACACGAAAGTGCTTGGTAGGGCTAAACCTCGACTAAACCCGAAAAGGCTCCCCGCGGCATGCTTAGCTCGGAGCCTGCATCGCAGTAACGATATACGATAGGACTAGGTAGAATTTGAATATCTAGAATCTAGACTGCTATGCATAATAGAACCCTTGTAGAACCCCGTATTAACGAGTCGCCCGGGCCCCCGAACTTGAGCCATGCATCGACGTAGCATCGCGGCCTCGCTGCTCGTAGGCCAGCTTTAGAGACTGAGGTTGCCGGCCCCTACACCCGAAAACCTACTGGGGCTTACTTCAAGGATCATGGGACTTAGTAAGTAAAGTTATAAGTCCTTCAATTGGGTTTATAAGTATAGCTACCTTAATTATAACCCTACTTACTAAGTCCCATGATCCTTTAAGTAGGGCTTTTGGGACTCCGCTGGAGAAGGTCTGCCGGCAGTCTGGCTCTCCTTCAACATCCCGGCCGACGCCTGAGATGACGGTTCCTGGGGGTTGATCTACTCAGAGTCGGCTCCATATCAGTGGTGTTGTGGGTTCTGTACTGTTCTTACGGGCTATCAGTTTCATCACATATCGCATTGCGAGAAGAATGTTTTAGCCTGATAACGAACAGCAGGTGCACGTCCCCACATGCTGCTTATTTGTGCGGCAGCCCCTGACCTCGCCTCATCTGCCGATTTGCTGCAGTTCCAGAACTCGAAGCTCTCGCACAGATTCAACCTTAAACTTTAACGTTGCATTCTGAACCCTTAACCTCTGACCCCCTAGCCGAAATTACGTACATGACTTCGTGGCAGCTGGAGGCATGGGATTTCGGCGTGATCAGTGAAGCCGTCGCCTGAGTGCACATGCAGCTCTGTTCGTGAGATCATGGAACGTGGGTTTTCCGGATATGATGGTGCCGGTGATGATAGTCGTTGTGGTGACGCAGATAATTGTGGGGGTGCTGGCGGTAGGAATGACAGTCCAGCTGCTGGTGATGGTGGTCAGCCTGTACCCTTCCGAATGCCATGATCTGCTAGCCGTTTGCTTTCTCGGACCCCTAGAAGACCTGGGACGGGCCCACAAACGCGGCCATGGCCCTTATCTCCTATCAATATGAGGAGACGGGGCCACCAACAGGTCAGCTTGATGGCATGTGGCTGAACGCAGATTGTCCTTGGGAAGTATACAGTGTCACAGGCCATCGAGTGAGACGGACAAACTCTCATGGCACCCGAGAGTTTAGCATCCAGTGGGATCCAGCACGGAGCTCGTGGCAATGGGGAACGCATGGTCGGCTCAGTATGCAATGGCTTGGGGTGGACTCGATCGCATGGGTGCCAGATATGTGTGAACATCAGAATGGTCGCGTGTGGAGATGGCGACGTGTGCAGCCCAGTCCTCCAGTCACAATGCATCCACGCAGGAACGACTCCCGAGCAGTGACGATGGCTCCTAGAGACCTCCATCGATCTCGGGAGCGGCGATCAAGTCGAAGCCGAAGCCAGGGCCGGCACTGGCACAGCCATGGCCACAGCCACAGCCGCTACAGCCGCAGTCGGAGGAACTTTTCGGATGCACAGCTACCATGTGGCTTGACGCACCGTGAGATCTACAGCTTGCTCTCCCGTGAGATAACGCCCGAGGACTACGAGATGTTACTGCGCCTTGATGACGCCGTCCCCAAGGCCAAGCCTGCAACCGAAGAAGAAACCAATGAATTTCTCAAAGTAGTCCCCGTGCAAGAGGTTCTTGGTAAAGAATGTCCGATCTGTCTTTCCCCATTTAAAGAGGATGACAGTGTGGCAGCAGTGCCCTGTGTCTGTGCTCATACTTTTCACAGAGAATGCATTTCTACTTGGCTCTCCAATTACCGGAGAACCTGCCCACTGTGTTGCACGGAGCTCGAAAGAGCCTAATCCACTTGTGCATAACCGTGTGGCACGATGCTGAGCACCTTTTTCTTCCGTCCACCCGGGGGCAAAAAATAAGTATTTTTGGTAATTTGGCACGGCTTGAATGACCCAAGCCTCACTTGCATACTTCTGAAGGCTACGAGCGCAGCTGCCCAAAGGGAATGCTGGAGCTCATGGCAAAAAAAATCTTCAGCCATGCTGCTATCCGTTCCCTTTGCTGAGGCACAATCACTGTGCAAGCAGCTTGTTGCTTCATAGCAACATGTGTACATAATATTTTACAGGATGCGACTATGCATCTGGGCTGCTTGGCTGCCAACCCTCAGGCACATGCACGTGTGGAGAAGGTGCAAGAGCACCTTGCTTGCTTCGTCAGATCCACACGCGTGCATGCCATGTTCGATACGTAGTGCCCTGCGGCTTGGGGAGCGCAAGCGTCGCAGCTGGAGGGGTTTGTTCGAGTAGAGTCGAGTAGGCTTTGGGGAGAAACTTGCAAGACAAATTTGTGGAGAGCAAGAGGAAAACAAGCTGTTGCGTACCTCGATTCGTCTGCGTCGACACGCCAAGAAGCTATCCAGACAGCATCCAACGAGCACGGGGCAAGTACTGCAGCCGCTGCAGCTCCTCTGAGCTTTCTGAAGACCTCAAAGCCTGAAGCCTTTGTATCAGTGCTGCTGGTCATGGCAATACCCTCAAATGCTACAGCCTTTTTGCACGTTGTCCGTCAAAGATCTAAGGTGGCTCGAGCCGAGCTTCGAACCTCCCGGTGCAGAGCTTTGCAGACTGTGGGCTGACAGCGTAATCCGAGTCCTCTACCAGGACTCTACCATTGTTTTGAATTCCACAGTTCAGCTGTAAGCTCAAAGCCACCTACCTACGGACATGTGGCACTTTGTGACACGGAGTGTTCTAAATGTGGCGTTCTGAGGCGTGCCTTGCACTCTTCGCAATTTGAGGGTGTGCCACTCGGACACTGCGGACCTTGCTGCGCGCTCGCTGGGGCCCAGCTTGTTGCTGCTGCTGCCCAGGTGTCAGCTGGCATGATCGGTATGAGCGGTGGCAGGCAAGCACATTCTTACTGTTGTCGGGTTGAGCTGGGTCTAGGTAGAACAGCACCCCATGTAGCTTTATGTCACTGCTGCATGCGAATTTCTCAAGTCTGCGGCGCTTTCTACTAATATCGAATCCTTATTGTAATTACAGTATAACATGCACCAAAACCCTATTCTCATTGTTAAGGCCCTTACATTACTGCCATCGCCCTTGTGGCACTCGCCTGCTCCCGGGCTGTAATTTGCTCTGGTCAGCAGGCGCAGGTCGTGGAGCCAGAGGAGGGGGTGGCTCAGCAGCACTGGAAAGGCTTCCTTAGGGCCTTAGGGGTTGGGGTGCTGAACTTGAGGCTATGAAACATGATCTCATCCCCCCGTCCATTTGGTTCCTGAAATGACGTATGCTGTCAAACTAAGATACAAAGTTTCTGCTGCCCTGAGACAGCCTATCTTGGACAGCTCGAGCATTTAACCGACCTGAGCATCACTGAGAATCAACCTCAAGAGTCAATCGAGCCCCACTGTAGTATCTCAAAACATTAAATGCCTGCACATCCGTGGACTTAAGGCTCAAAGCCCCATACTGCATACATACATATAAATAAATGTGTGTATGTATATATATATATATGTATACATATGTATACACAGACGCATACATACACGCATCTATCTCTATAAGTGTATCTATACTTAAAAATAGAAATGGTCAAGTAGTTAGAGAAGCAAATGTATAGACGTACATACAGACATACATACATACATACATACATACATACATACATACATACGGTACATAGACAGGCAGATAGATAGAGAAATACATAGGTAGATTAGATAGATAGATAGATAGATAGATAGATAGATAGACAGATGGACAGATAGATAGATAGATAGATAGATAGGTAGACAGATAGATAGATAGGTAGATAGGTAGGTCACATGTATGTATACGTGTATATTATTCGCTAACGTATATTTATTTGCGTACTGACACACATGTATCTATCTGCATATCCACTTCTATGTTTCTTGCTTTTTACTTTACACGCATGATACGGGGATGCCCCCTAAACCCGAAACCCTAAACCCGAAACCCCAAACCTGAAGCCGACTTGCCCTCGAAGCGCCCAAGGCGAGTTTGAGCCTCGGCCTCTTTGCCTCGGAGCAGGATGCTGCGAAGGCGCAACTACCTGGGTGTTTTGCTATGTCAGACCAACATGCCATTTGGGTTTGGGGTTTAGGATGTAGGGTTTTGGGTGTTAGGAACAAGGTGTGTGCCAACAAAACGAAAAGCACAATAATTAAATTAGGTCGCAAAGGTTTCGAACTCAAAGATCGAGTCCAAAGGCGCACACACACGATCACACACGATGCAGTTTCCAAAATTCATGCCATCCAACATCCTTTCTGGTGCCCTTAAAATGTCCTTGGTTTTCGGCATGCAGGTCGCCTGCGTTTCCATTCCACTCATCACCTCCACCCGACCCCTTAAAGCTAAGAAAGGAAACCGCAATTAGGGAGAGAGCCAAGCATAGAGTTTCCACCGGTCGGGGTTGCCTACTGTTCCTTTTCACGGTCGGGTGTTGTGTTGATAAGGAGTGCTGGACAGGACATTATCTCGAAACGGTTCATCCCAAGACAACCCACATGAAACGCGAACAAGCCCCTCTACCGCCCGAAACCCCTAACCGTAAACCCTAAACCCTAAACCCTAAACCCTAAACCCTGAAACCCCTAAACCTTAAACCGGCAAGAGCCCGGGAACCCAGAGGCCTACGATTGCGGCCTCCTCGCCCTCCAGGCAGGCGGGCATTGCTTTGAGGAAAGCGGCGGCTCCTGAAAAAAAGCATTATTTTCTGGTGGAGGGCTTGCCTAGAACCAAATAGACCTGCGTGTTTAGGGTAGGTTACTCTGGTTTCAGGTCGGAGTTAGGGCAACCTTCCACATCATGAGCCTAAAACCCCGAACAGGAATTCCTAAACTCAGCCCAAAGCTTCGAGTGTATCCGCCAGGCAAGCGAGGCACCAGTGAACTTTCCCGGCAAGAAGTACAAGCAGGGCGATATCGCTTGGGGCTTAGCACCACCTGAAACGACCGCATGCTGAGGCCTGTTTAAGCTTGCGGCTTATCTTCAGGCTGGGCTAGGGTTTAGGGTTTAGGGTTGTGTTACGATTCGTATTTCGGGTTTTATTTCTCGCTTCTTGTTGAACCCATGGCCTTCAGAATCTGGCACAGCATGAGTTCCTTTGCAGGACGAGGTCAGGTTATATTGCTGGCTAAACGGTTGGGGGTTTAGGGTGTAGGGGCGGAGCATGTTGACAACTCACTACTTGTTCGAACCCAATCCCACAACTCTTGGAGTTGATAGCACTCTGGTGTTTTTTTAAGGAGCAGGTCGCCGACGAGCTGGAGGACGTATGGTTTCCGCGGCATTCCGCGAGGCGAAGCTCTTCATGCTCAATCAGGAATCGCACTCTTTCAGACCACCAGCCATATGCATGTTACATAACGCTTGAAGCCTGAGTTTAAGGTGTCGTCGGCCTAAATATCGGGGGCCATGACCAGGTTCATGGGAGTGTACCGAACTCTCACCAGCACGAAGTGGCGAGCCGAGCTTGAGGCAAACTGTGCCTGCTCTTGGCATTCTGCTCCGGGGCTCCTTGTGCTCTTCCAGTCTTGTCTACAATGCTGTTTCAGAGGACTCTATAGCGTCTGCAGTGCTGACCCCTTGTTATTTCTGCCAGATTTACAACGTCAAGCAGTTCCTCGGCAGCTTCGATGACGAAGAAGAGGTTGGAACGCGGATAGAGTTGAGGGTGTAGGGTCTGGAACGGGCACAGGTCAGGCACTGCCAGAAATACAAAACCACCACTGGAAAAGCGGCGAATGGTTTCCGGGTCCCAAAGTTGGCATTGGGTTTTTGTAGAAAAAACGCAAGAGTGCGGAAGAAAAGAGCAATGTCATCATATCTCCGTCAGAGGCGGCTCGAGCAGTGGACGCTGCCATCCGCAGCACGGGTGCTGAGAAGGCGGCTTTTGAGTTGAGGCTTTGACAAAGTAGGGGGTACCCCTATGAGGATCTTACTAGTGAGGGTTCTACACTTCTTTCTGAAACTCCCAGCTGATGGTTAGAAATAAGAAGGCCCGTAGATCAGTCTCGGTACTCCCAAGCTTCCTATGCAGCCCAGGCTCTTCAGCTTCGCATGCTCAACTTCTGTACCGACGCGGACTATTTCGAGGAGGATTCCTGGGAGGAGGACGTCTGAGAGAGTTCATGCCACGACGCAGAAAGCATAACGGTACCCTCTTCGGGCTTTCCATGCTCATCGGCCCCATGGTCGGATCCTCTTCTGCTTTTAGGTCGTTGCTGTGGAATAAGCACTGCCATGAGGTGCAACAGGAAGCCCGGTTACCTACACCACGGTCCATGAACCCACGGTGCAATCCTGCAGGAAGCAGTGCCCAGAGGGGCGTCATCTCGCTTTATGGGCGCGCGGCCCAAGATGCACCAATGTCTTGGGAGAGATGGTACAGCTATGTACAGCTGTCAGTAGATAGATGTGCAAATCCTCGAAGCTAGGCACTTCCATCAAAGCTGCGAGTATCGTTCCCGACCCTGTCGGGCAGACAGTTTGGAACCTGCAGGCGTCACCTACCACCAGCCTAGCGGCCAATTCTTGGCCAGATTTGGTCGAAGGCCGGCGGGGGGGGGGGGGGGGGGGGCAAAATTGCGCAGAAGAGCTGTGATTCCACGTCAGCACAACCGTGCAGGCACCTCGGACTGTATGATGAGGAGGACGATGCTGCGCGTGCCTTCGACAAGGCACATCGCGGTGTTCCTCTGGGGATTTCGTTTTCGGAGTTGAAAGAAGCGGGACAGTCTCAGAGCCTGCCCTGTCATGATGAAGCCTTGGAGGGAGTTCCCTTTATTGAGCCACGAGCTACGGACGTCACATCCCTGCACTTGAAACAAACATCGCATGGAGGATATTACAGCATGCACATACATCGCGGAGAAGCGGAGAGGGTTGGAGTCAGTTCCGGGCCCGCAGAGGGGCCTTTCAGGCGCCTGAGCGTGTCTACGGATGAAAAGGAGTGCCAGATGCTAACGGTCCGTGCGGCGAACTTTATAGCCCGGCGGTAGTAATATAGAGGGGGAGATTTTTGTCATCGGTGTCGTGCGATCGCAGCTTCTGGCCAGAGTTTGTCGCATGAATAGTGGCAAAACGCATGGCCTTACAGGCCCGAGACACACCTCCTACTTAGGCTTGTGGGCTTAGGCTGTTCGGGACCCTAAATCCTAGACCCACATCCCCACCCATTCTGGGCAAAAAAGATTAGTCATGACTGAAGGCATCCCACGAACGAGGAGGCCGAACGAACTTCCATCCCTCTACGATCGGCGCATGAGACAAGGAAACAATGGCAACTGCCGGAGATCTTGCCACGGTTCGTTCAGCATAAATCTTCTAGTAATCTCATATAGAAAAAGAAAAGTAGATAAATATAGAAGAAGAAAGGATATACTAATATTCATCGAAATTTTAAAAATACTTAAACTAAATTTGTCATAGTTCATTGAATAATTAGTCGAATATTTGAAGCGTGTCCTGTAATTTTGAACATTATATATTGAAGAACTGTATTTCTTATTTCTTAAAAAATTGTATGGATTTAATAAGTTACAGAATAGGACTTATCCAACTTCTGGTATTGAAGCCTATAAGTATTTTGGAAAGAAGATATTCTATTTCGAAGTGTTAACCTTCGGTACGTGGCTGAGGTTCCGAGCTTCTTTCGGATCCTAAAAGAGAAAGGATTGATTAAATATATCTTCATAATTGCATGTGTGTTAGGGTGCTTTTTGGCTTTGCAGCAAGCTGTTCGGATTGCCTCTCTCCTTGTCCGGGCCTGTTGGTCTTTCGTGAAGCCTCTACAGGGGATTCTCGAATATTTCCGGAATTTTGCGGGTTTTTTTCGGACTCTAGCTTTCCTGGAATTTTTGGGCATCCCCGGGCCAATCCCCGCACCAATCAAACATGCCTTGGCTCATAGCTGTTTCATGTCGAAGTTTAGGACCGACTAGTCATCGTATCTGCGATCCGAAACGTGGAAACGCAAGTTGCGGGCGAGGGCGTGTGTGTCGTGGGGGAGTGCGTGTCGTGGAGTGGCGGTCGGAGTTGCGGGCGAGGGCGTGCGTCTCGTGGGGAGGGGAAGGCGAGGACGCACGTGTCATTGCATGCATTTGTGGGAAATCTCGTGGAGTGGCGGGTGAGAGCGAAGAGGGTGGCGGAGTGAGTGGGTGGGTCGGGGTGGGGGGGTAGGTCGTCGGGAGTGGCGGGCAAGGGCCGGTCGAGGGGCATGTCGCGAAGAAGCGGGCGGGCGTTTGTAATACGGCGAGTGTTGTGGCCGTGACGTGGTAGGTTCGGGGCGTGAGTATCGGAGTGTCGTATGAATTTGAGAGGAGTATAGAGGAGTGTCCCATGGGACGGGTCGGAGAGAATATCGTGGAGCGATGGGGGAGGATTGTACGAATCGTCGGAAATATCGAAGAATTCTTATAATTTATTTTTTAATTTGATTAATATTTTTATAATTCTGATATGATTGAATAATAAATAATATCTAAAAGCTATGATAAAATATAATTAAAATATTATGATGAAGAAATTATATATAGTTTTTATTCTGAAGAGTTTTTTCTCTTGAATCTATATAAAATATATGAAATTTAAGATTATTGAATCTTAATGGAATTTATAGATTCATATAATACTAGCTTATAATCAATTATTCATATAACTATTAAATTATTTGATATATTTTAATGATGTATTATTCGAATATTTAAACTAATGAATTATTTGAAAATTGAATGACATAGATCTAAATTCGATAGAAATTATATCTTTTATATTAATATTTAATAATTTCAAAATATTTCAATATAATTTTCAATAAAATAATCTATAATTATGATCTATTTTATATATTTCATACTAATCTATATATATATATATTCAATTATCGGATTAATTATATCTATTTATTCTTTTGTATCTTATAATTTATTTTTTCAAATTCTATTTCTGATTTATTAAATAAATTTGGTTTATAAAGTGCTACGGTTACACATGTTCTTTATGATTTAGTGCGTTTCGGGGCGCCTAGATTTTAGAATTTTGAATAAATTTATAGACTATGGCGCGCGAGCTAGTTCGACCTACTCAGGGTCTAAATTTAGAAGCTCGGGCTGCAATTTTAAGAAATAGGGGTTTCTTAGAAGATCTCGGGCTAGGTCTCGATGCATTCGAATATTGATATAAAGATATACCGTATATACGAAATTTTAATGAAGCGTACAACTAATATATAAATAAATTCTCGATATATATATCATCATAATTGAATATATATAGAAAAGAAGAGAATATATATAATATTTAATTCTATCGGTTTATTCGAATTGGAGCATATTCGTTATTTCCAATAATGAGATTCTCAATATCAAAATATTATTTAATGAAATAATGAATATCGATATATCGTAAAGAATCAATTTTCAATATATAATAATATAATCTATAAGAAAATTGATTTATTTAAAAATAAAATCTAGCATGAAATCTGATATTTTTGCAATTAATAATATAATAATCTCTATTTCTTATGGAATTCTTATTATAAATTTTAGACCTCAAGAATATTATTATCAATATATTTTAAATTTCGATATCTCTATA